TCGAATCCACAGGCTCGTCTGACATGACTGGCTGAAGGAGCGAGCCTCGGAGAGAAAAGAAGACCCATCCGACAGTAATTCACCAGTCAGCGTAAGTGATAATGACAGGGCATGGAGGGGCAAAACGGTGTCAAGAGGACCCTTAGATTCATCGCCCCCGTTCGATACCGAATTGAGCTGCTTCTTGCGACCTATGATGTCCAGAAGCTGCAGGGACAGGCTGGCAGCCTGCCTCGTGTGTGCGGGAACGGTGTGTATCCCGGGTCTCGTTCTCATTCGCAGTCCGAAACTCCCCGGATATTGACGGGCCTCGCTGTGTCGCACAATCGGATCGTGAGAATGACGACGGACGGCGAAGGCGATGGTGAGCTGGTCGCACGCGCCATGTCGGCTCGGCCAACAGACACACACACCACTCACACCTTGATCGCCAGTCCGATAGCGACCCGATAGGATCTAGAGACCATCAGACAGGCATGTATGTTCCTCTTTCCGACCCCAACGGATATCTAGCTTTGGTTACAGAGAAAACGCCATGTGCGCAAGGAATAAGCAACTTGAGCCAGAAACGGCACCGAAGCACAAGGCTCTTCCCTCCTCCTTTGTTGGCCTTGCTGATTCAGCTGCTCAAATCAAGGCACTTTTCTGGTTTAGAGGAGCATCTCGAGCCGGGTCCTTGCACGATCCGAGGGAAAGGTGAGGAGCTGTGTTTCTAAAAACGCATGCAGCATTGCTTTTTCCCAGCGCCTCAAGACGCCAGCATCTCGGTCTAGCTAGGGGGGCTCCTGATTAGTCTCACACAGACCAGCCCCCCTAACCATGTCTTACAACTAAGCCTAAGATACCTAACCTATCGTTAAATAGCGGAGCGCCACAGCGATGTGATGCGTTAGCTGGCTGATATTAACGAAACGGCGTAGACAGGGTAGAGGAGCTGTCGAGCCTGAATCAGGAAGCCACAAACGCCCGCCGCCGCGCACGCATTGCTTGAAGAGTTACATAACTCGCATGCCTCCGTGCGGCGCGTCTGTCTTTTCATCACGGAAAAGAACGGGGCCGTATGTATGCACATCGTCATCCCGGAGATCATCCATGTCCATCGTGCGTCCTCCTGCCTTGCCTCGCCTGGTGGTTTTGAAGTGCCTTGGGTCCTAGCGCAGCCGACATCAACTACAGGAATAGTACTCGTACGAGTAAAGAGAAACAGCTGGCATGGATGTCGCTGCGGCCGTCGGCAATGAGGATGGTCAATCTACACGTCTGCCAAAGCAGAAGTTGCCGGCGGCGAGGCCGACTTCTTGATATCGGTATATCATTCTTCACTTCAACCTCGCCCAAGCCAGCCAGCCAAGCACCAGCACGCCATTATCATAATTCAGCGTGCCTTGCCCTGCAAGGCACACCCCTCTCTATGCAGAAACATCTATCATGCTACGCATTCAAGATGAGACGGTCTCACATCATGTTGACAAGGTGCCCTACGCAAATACAAATATCGTCTATCTGCCAAATGGTAACACATGTCGGACGAAGTCCGAACAACGGTGTCACGGACAATCTGCCGGGCCTGGTTGACAGTTGGGGCTCTCGGCGCATTGATACTGGCTGATGGCGCTGTAAATTGTGACGATCCGATTCCCACTTCCCGACCATCCTATTTAACAGCCCAGCTTAACCAGGCGCGGCCAGCCAAAATGAGACGGAGTCATGCAACCACATCCAAGAAAAATGCACGAACGGAAGCGATCTCGGGCTAGGATGAATTAAGGGCGACGCCCCCCCACGCTGCTGCAATTCATCCACAATCTTCCTGTTCATTGTCTGTCGTCTTCTTCAACTTAGGGTACAGTGCTATTTATTATGGCAGTGGAGAGGCAGGATGATGGTCCACCAGACTTAAAGTCCCGGTCGATGATGACACGACACGTGAGACCTGCTTGAGACAGACGCCCGCCGCCTGGCCATTCGCTGACGATGGGGCGAATTGTGTCGTCCAAACAGAGACGCAGGGGTCATCCATCAAGTAACAGTGGTGGTGGTGCACTTCTCGACTCAGCTTTCTTGCCTGCCCCGAGGAGAGGAGGCTGTCCATCCATCAAAGCAGAGGTGAAGTGATGTGCAAAAGCCTCACTTTGCTTTTTCCCTCGCCTCTCCACGGGGAAAGGCAGAAGGAGGTGCGCGCCGCAGCGGGAGAAGTATCGGGAAAGGCATTGGACAGGCTCATCCATCCATCCTCCATCCATCCAACCAACCAACCATCCACTACTACCACCCCCATCACAACTACCCATGCATGCTCTTCCCTCTCTCGAAGATGGGATCAGATGTGGGGCGATGCATGTCTTGAACGCGCATGCGACCATACATCTCAGTACATCCAGTACATCCAGACGCTGAGTAGAGCGACTAGGCTGCTTCTGGCACGCACCTCCTCCTCTTGCTGGGGTAGTGGTGTGCGAAACACCCCATCCTGCACCAGATGGTCCGGCTTGCCCAAACGGGGAATTCTTGCACTCTTTCGTTCTCTATTCTCTTCACGAGGGCGAGCTGGGCTGATGAAAAGGCTGAAGCGATGCCTGCTGGTCGGCGTGAGCTCGGCCGGCCAGCCAGGCCATTCCTCTTGTTCATCGCATCCCCTCGTCTTGTGCAAGCCCAGACCAGCCTCCCGGATTGATTGCGGTAACCCGGCCAATGCTTAGAGAAGTGACAGTCGAATTATACCCAATCGTGTACGGCATATGTACGTGACAGAATGTAAGAGGGTGAGAACGAATGCCGCAGATATGATGATATGCTGTGCAGCATGAGAGCTCGACTCAATGGGCTAAACAAGTGGCCTAAACAGAACGAGGAGAACTCCCCCAACAGTCCAGCCAGTGTAGCGTCTGAGATCAATCAATGCATGTCCTGACGGGGCTTTTTTGAGTTTGAGCTTGGGGCTCTTCAGGCGGTGCGAACCGTCCGGTCTCCACCAAATCTCAAATCTCTAGCGAGTATCCTCTCCCGCCACTGACTCGGAATCTGTGCGCTCGCTGCGCGGAGACCAAGTCTTGCCGCATTTATGCTCAACCCTTCATCCCTGATAATGACAGCGGAAGTCGCTCTCGGAACAAGGCAGAGCACTAGAGAACTCGTAGAGTAATGTCATCTTGCGTATAGTATAGCTGCGTGACCCCCTTTGCGAGTCAGTCGAGAGAGCAAAAGCTATTGTATCATCTACCAGGGATCTAAAGAGTTGAGACAACCAAAGACAACGACCTGTCAGCACCACTCAATTGCCTTGACAGAAATTATGGACAAACCAACTCCTCAACTACTGCTCGTCATACCAGAGCAAAAGAGAAGAATGCGACGGCGACATCGCAGCACTCATTATTCTACAATGGCCCATATGTCTGTCTCTCTCATGCTACCTCGCAGCTCTGGCTAGACTCGACGCGGATTCCCCTCTCTCGCCTACCCTGGTCGCCGCCCAATAACGCAATCCCGTAGAGGGCCAGGCCTGGGAACCTGCCCCTACCTACTTCCCTGAGCAGTTTAGCTGCCATGAGGCTAAGTAGGGAAACTGGCGAGGGGCAGCAGGTAGGTACTTGGAGATACCTTGGGCTGAGTTATGCTGCGTTCTCGTTTAACTCTCGACCTCCTCTCCTCTCGTCCCTCATCATGGCCCAGCAGCCTATGGTAGACAGCAGCCGTGTTCAGTCCTGTCCTGTTCTGCCATGGCCTTCCTGGGCTTTTGATCCAACTCTCCACTCCACCCTCATCACAATCAGCCTACCAGCCGTCGCTCTTGAGCACATCTCCCGCATCTCAAAGCAAGTCCCTGCGCCGTGAAACAAGGCAGGCAATGCCCGTCTGGCCTCCCACACAGGGGGGCAAGGCCGCGGCAGGCAAGGGTTTGGGTTGGTTCTGTCTCCCCCTAACACGATGGTTATGCTTGTAGACGGGGCGCGATCTCTCTCTCTTTCGCTGCATATCCCACTCCACGATGCTGTACAGGGTGCTGGTGCTGCTAGGGCGATGGACGGCTTTGCAACGGCTTCTCACGGGCCAAGTGGGCTGACGGGAGGAGCCCGACGACTCCTCTTCACCTCTTCCCTTTCACTCACTCACTCTCTCACTCGGTGGAACTCGGCAGATAGACCGACGGCCGTCACAGCACGTCTACCTCGTGGGATTGGCTGCCGACCGCTCTCCTGTTCACATGTCTGTACCCACCGTGGGAGCATCCTTATCGTCGTGAATGGCTTCACGGTGAAAAGCAAAGAGGAGACCATAGCCCGTGCCGCTCGCTCGTTTGCCCGCCCACACGAGACCGAGTCCCTGCGAGCGCTTGCTTCCCTTCTTAGCAATGCCGTCATGTAAGCCTTGGCGGGCACCTTGGCTCGGCACATCGGCCGGTGCTCTGAATCCATCAAGATCATCATGCGAAATTGCGGGTCTCCAGCTTTCTCACACGTAACACTAAGGCATATCCACCAGACTAAACTGTGGTAGACTACTGTACGGAAAATCCAGGGTTTTCTGGAGGGGTCGTCTGTCTGTCTGTCTGTCTTGTCTGTACTCTAACTACTGTAATTGCGGGCTCTTGTGGGTTCTCTGAAGAACGTGGTGTTGCTTCTACGGCATGCTTGAACATTCGTGCAGCTCGGCATACGGCAACTCTTCATGTACGAAGGGCTCTCTCTCTGAACTAACTAAGTCGCCCCATATTGAATCCCAAATCAAATCGCTTCATATGACTTTCTGCCTGCGTGTTCCATCGTCAAGGAGGAAGCTCAAGCGCCGCCTAGAGTAAGAGTCGGGCAGCTAGACTCGACACCTCATGCTCACACGATACTCATAACACTTCACCGCCGGTCTCAAGGTCCGCCCTAGCGCAGCCTCTACCACGCTCTACCAGACGCGCTAGAGACTCTAATGGCTGTCCGTCGTTCAACTCGTTATTATGGACGATCACCCGTGCCTATTCTGGGGTGCCTGGGCCTCCCTTCCCTCCTCTACGGGCCACCGCCTGAACGTTCATCAGACTCCTTGGGCGGCGGCGGTTGTCGCAGCGAGACGACCACACCACCACCAGCTCCAGAACCAACCCAATCCCTGCCGATCTCGTATTTCCCGCCCAGCACCAGGTCCTTCGCGACCAGCTCGCGCGTGCGGCCCAGGCTCTCGATGTCGGCGATGCGCTGGATCGTCTTGTCCAGGTGTTCGCGGAAGCCCGGCTCGGAGCAGATCTCGCGGAACGCCAGATGCATGGGCACCGAGCTGGCCCGGACCTGCGCGCGGCTCGTGATACTGAAGAGGTTGAGGCGGTCGAGCGGCCGCACAAAGTCGGCGCGCGTCATGATCTCCTGCGCCTTGTGCAGCGGGTACGACGGGAGTATGTGCCCGATCACCGGGTCGTAGGTCTTGTCCATGTCGGCTTCCTTGTCGACGAGGGCTAGGGCGAGAACCATTGCTGCTGCCTGTGATGAGAAAGTTAGCTTTTTGCTCGCTGAAGAGTTGTGAGACCGCTCTTAAACTGCTTGTTGTGACCAAGCTATAAAGAAAGCTGTCTTCAGACCATGGAAGGAGAGTTCGTAATCAAATTATCAAAAGTGCTCTTGCCATATGGTCAAGTCCAAGGTAGGAGGATATGGTAACGGTAGGAACAGAAGACAACTTACAGCCCACTTCTGCTGGTCCATGACATCGTCATCCATTTCTGCTCCAAGAATCCAGCACTGGTTGAGAAACCAAGTCTTCTCAATCTCAATGATCTGCTCACAGGTCTTCATCATATCCTTGCTCTTGGCCACACGGTTCAAGAACGTCAACCGTCCGCCAATCTGGTCGTATACCTTCTCCGCCATCTCGTTCGACAGCCTTTCGCTGAAGTACCGGGAACGATAGCGCTGCAATGCGGCCGTGGCTTGTATCTTGGGCAGGTCGGTAACGCTGAGGACCTCCATGCGCGTGGCCAGCTGCTTGAGCCGCTCATACACCCAGTAGTCATCACTGTTGAAGACCATAGTCACCAGGTTCGAGGCAGCCCATTGCTCTGCGCGCTGCTGTAGCAGCTCGATGAGATCCTTGCCATCTTCATCATCGCGGACCAAGTGCATCTGGTTGATGATGAGCACCAGCGGCCGTCCGACCCTGGCTCGCCGCAGCATGGCCACCTTCTCGAGCTTGTTCAGTGCCCTCTCGATATCCAGCAGTGCTGTTGTGTCTCGAGGACCGCGCTCGCTGAAGTAGCCGCCGATATAATCCTCGTGGAACTCGTAATCGAGAGCCTTGCCCAAGCGGATACGGAAGATCTCGAGGTCGGCATGGGCCTCGAACATGGCTATACCATCGCCGTCGATCTTGCGCATTGCATCGAGCAGCATACTGCTTTTACCGCTACCTTTCTCGCCTATGATGAGATGGTCTGCAAGGATCAACGTCAGTTCAGGCTATTTGAGGTGAAATTGGGGAGAATCGCGATGCTCGAGTCACAACCAAGCTTGGACGGGAAAGGATTGGAGCAGTGAAAGGGGGTTCGATGCTTCCGAGAGACTTACAGTGTCCGACCTCCTGACCCATCACGATACGATCCACTACCGCCTGCTCCGGCCGTTGTATCCAATGCGCTGCAGCTATAGCATCATTGTCTTCTGGTTGTGTTTCCGACTTCAGGTTGATTCCCTTGCCGAATGCGGCGAGCTCCAGCACAGGGTCACCCGGCTCAAAGGCATTGGCCATCTTCTTCAGCACGAGGTGCTTGTAGAACTTGTGATACAGGTATCCAGCACTCCCGAAACCGATAGCAAGCACCAATATGCTTGCGAGAGACGTGGCTGCGGCCTCGAGCATCTTGGACGCTAGAGACGGGCCGCCATCGTCCCGCTTGCTCTTGTTCTCTTCACCCGGCTTCGATGACGGTGGGGGTGTAGTATCTTCGCCAGTCCCTTCTCGCTGTCTCCTTGTCGGCTGAGTCGTGAAGCATCTCAATCCATTGCGCCGGAATCCATGTGTCCCAGAAGCCAGCCAAGTGAAACTGTGGTTGCGCACTCTCTCAAGGCCCTGGCGACTTAGATTATCCCCTAGACGGGCAAAGGAATGAGATTGAGAGGTCTTCCGGAATAGCTGGATGTACAATGTCTTCCGAGTTGCTGAGATCCCCCTCTGTGAAGTAGATAGCTGAGTTGTAAACTGTCTCAATACTCTTCCATGAGTCCGGCCATTGATCGACTCACTGACCGTATGCAGCACCGAGAATGAGCTCATTCTCTTCCCAGCTCTTGATTTGGGCCTTGCCGTAAGTGTAAGCCCTACACCAGTGCCCGGATACTCGACTGACACTGGCGATTGGACATGAGATGACTGATGGCCGGCCCTTCTTCTCCCCGGCGCATCAATCCGCAGCGGTTCGCCGGCTCTTCTCTCATCAATTGACGACTTAGATCCATCCTCTTCCTTCCAACTCCTTTTCAAACTCGTACAGAGCCCCCTATTCCTGCCGGAGAGCAGCAGATATGCAGCGCATCGCGCCCCGATGAGCGCCTGTGCCGGCGCGCATGCCAATGCCAATGCCGATGGCCGCCCAATGCAGCGCTGTGACATCATCGCTGTGCCTTAAGCGACCGCCAATTCACACCACCAGAGGCCGTGCTGGCCGTGCTGGCGGCCAATTCACCCACTGGAACACAAAGAAACCGTTAAAATAAAGAGCGTGATGAGCCGAGGGGCGGGCAGAGCAGTCCCCCTCTGTCTCTTAGACAAGCGGCATATCGACAGACAACAATAGAATGGACGAGGTTGAAGAGAGAAGAGGGAGGGAGAGGGAAGCCCGATGGCTGCACCAGAATTAAAATGGCAAAAAAAGGACGCGATTTGCCAAGATGCTCCCTCCCAGCTCTGGCCCACTATAACTATAACAACAATGGGAAGGAAAATGGGCGAGTTGCGAGTTTGGGCGCCCAAAGCGTGCTGAAGAGTGCCTGGTCCGTGCTGAAGCTCCCCCAGCTCTACAAGGTCCATGGGTTGCCTCAATTGGCCAGCCCTTCTCACAACAGCCAATCAGCGTTCAGCATTCGTCTGATAACTCACTTAGAGCCTCACCTTCCAGACAACTCCAACAAGGTGAGCGCACCTTGTTTCAAGGTGTACTTGAGCTGCCGCTGGTCTACAGTGTAGGTCTAGGTATCTGAGGAATCACAATGCCTCACAATGGCTCTTCGTTCTGTGTTCATGGGAAGAGGTAGCGGAAACCCTCTGGTAGGTAACTCTCATACTAGGTACAGTATGGACTCAAGGCACTGAAGTCAGTACCGTTTCTTCTTGTCCAAACAGCCATCGCCAACCTCAGATAGCTGTTACGTACGACTATCTACTTCACACATATCTTTCTCGCAAATCATCACAACCACCGCAATGGCTCCCGAGAAGACCAAGATTAGCTACCCAATTCCAACCGACCCGCACCGGGTCTCCCGGCTGATACTCCCCAGCATCCCGGAGTCGCCTCGTGGCTATGGCGCTAGAGACAGCGACGAAGACCATGATTCGTTTGAGTCCATGCTCAACGCCTTCCCCCAGCCCCCTACGGGTCGCCCTGCTTCTCCTGGCGACAGCAACAAGAAGCACGATAGTGGTAGTTGGCACCGGCTGCGCCCCCGAGACACCAGTCTCACTGATCCGGCCGTCTGGTTTAAGAATCCCCGGCCGGCTCCGACTCCTCCGACTTGGCTAGAGAGTCCTCGACTCGCCCCGGTTGCTCCGTCTCCGGTCCCTGCGCCCGCTCCGGCCTCCCCTCCGTCTCCTCCAGCTCCGGCCATGCAGCTGCGTGAGAAAAAGAGCATGAGCAACATGCTCCGTCGCGCCGCAAAGAAGTCTACCCTGTCTCTCCGGAATCTGGCAAGCAAGATGGAGCCCAAGGACAAGGGCAAGGCCAAAGAGAAGGCCATTGAGCCTCTGCAGGAGCAGAAGAAGCCGCAAGGTAAGCAGTGTTGTCCCAACTTCGTCTTACTCGAGACGTATCAACGAGATGATGGACTATAAGCTAATCCCCGTCAAGGCAATACCACGGTGGCTGGACCGAGCAAGGCTATGCGCCCTCGGCTTTCTGATGCGGCAAGACAAGCCGTTGCGCCCTGGGAATTCGACCCCCGCACCATGGCCCTAGAGGAGGAGAAGTAAACGGAAGTTCAGGAGCCCTGCTGGCGTGGCTTTTGGCCTGCCTTTTTGGTGTTGGCTGGTTTGTTGCTGTGTTCTCTCTTCCGGCCTTGCTGGTAGCCCACGGGGTGAAGGCTGTTTGGGTCAGGGTTAAGGCGTTGGAGGATAAGATACCCGGACTTTCGCCTCGCTCGGAGGCAAAGCAGAATAGAACTGTGTTGCTTTTCTTGATGGAATGAACTCAGCATATGCATATGTGAAGTGGTGACAGGAGTACTTTACTGCGGAGAGAAAGCTAAGTTGCGGAACAATATTGAAAGACCCCCTTTTTAAGTTGAAACAGCCTTGTAGCTTCTCTTTGGTGAAAGGCAGCGTTCTTTCTCGGCAACTGAGGTAACTTGTGGCCATTCAGAGACATGAGTGCCTGGCTTTAACTAATTAAAATATTATGCGCGAACTAGGTTCAGAGTTAGAGATTAGTCGAGAAAGAGAGAGTTGTCGATCATTCTATGTTGTGACGGATAGTCTATTGCATTTATCGTCCGGCAAGAGCAGATACACAACAAGTTACATCTTATATACAATGGTAACTTATGAGAAGGATGGTTACACAGCAGGACATCTCAACCAATAATCCGAGGTCTGCTTACTTAGCATGCGGCTCGCAAGAAAATGCACTCGACTTGGCATGCTGCCTAACAGCACAGCCTTGTCCATGACAACCCAGCCATTCTCTTTCCTGGCTGAGAAAACTTTACGATGCAATCGACAGAGCGAGAAATCATCATTGACGAGATCGAAGATCTCTGCGAACGCTGCAAAGCCATTGAATTCGACGATGCCGGCCTTGGAGGCGTCGAAGAGATCTCAGGGATCGATGGAAAGTCGAGACTTAGATTTCCCCAAACCTTAGCGGGGCTCATGCGCAGAGACACATTTGACCCTCGTAAAAATGATTATATGCGAAGACTTCAACTTGACTATCGACTTGAAGACCATTTCCCTCGGCTCCCAATTCTCAGCGAGTCAGCTTTTCGTGGATGTCCATTTTGTCTATTTCTCAAGACAGCAATTCTCTCTCAAGATTCAGTCCACGCAATCGAGGAGAAATTGAATGGCGCAACTTCTTCTTCTATCCAAGTCACACTAGTATATTGGTGGAATGCCTTAGACTACTATGAAAGCTACGATGGATTGAGTTACATGGAGATAGAACTCGGCTTGGGTTCGGGTAATGATCTCAACATGATTTGTCTAATCGAGGACTACGTCGGTATGTAATACCTTGAAATTAGTAGTCAATGGTTCTCTTGAGTCGTGCGCTGACTGAACAATGGATGGTGTAGGCAATGCGGCACAATGGCTTAGCCTCCGTCCTAAAAGACAGCACCCTCTGGAGGACGATGTGGTGAAGTGGATGCAGTGTAAGATCAACGACTGCCTGGACCATGGCCATTTTATGTCAAATTCCTTTTTCTGTCCAGATCGGTTGCTTGACGTATCACAAGATGCAATCAGGCTAATTTGCAAGGACGAAGTCATGAGTTCGGAAGCCCTGTCCAAACACCCCCTCCAATCTCCACGTTACGTGGCTTTGAGCTACTGCTGGGGTATCCCTGAAGAGGCAGAGTTGCAAGTAAAAACCAGAAGAGAAACACTCTCTGCTCATTTGAAGAATATTCGAGAGTGCGAATTGTCTCCAGTGATTAGGGATGCAATTGCAGTAACTCGGGCGCTGGCAATTCCGTATCTATGGGTTGATGCTCTATGCATCCTGCAAGATGAAGACGACACATCAGACTGGGCTCAACAGTGTTCTGCCATGGAGAAGATCTTTGGATGTTGTTATATCACAATCTGCGCTCTTGCTGCTGAGTCGTCTAAGCAAAGCTTCCTCTCGCCAAAAAACCAGTTATCAGTATGCATCCCATTTCGTTCGGGTTTGAACGTCAAGATGAAGGGAGCATACAAGGCGCGTGTCATGTATATTACGTCCTACAGTCCATTTTACGGCACGTCGGAGACGTTTCTTGATTTCGATGTCAGCCAATGGCAAAGCCGCGGGTGGACGCATCAAGAGTATGCGTTGTCGACTCGCATACTTGCTTTTGGAAAGTCGGCGGTCCATTTTCGCTGTAGTGAAATGCACCAATTTTACAAGGGCGAAAATTGTCCATCGGCGTATGATTTTCAAATTGATCAAGTTCTGAAGTCCCCAATCTCCGAAACAGAGCTTTTTCGGCAATGGTATGAGGTGTTGCAGCGGGCAAGCCAGTCTGCGAAGGGATTTACGAACAAGACTGATCCTTTACCTGCGCTTGCAGGCCAAGCGAGTATATTTGGAGATTTACTGGGAGCCCAGGAATCTGACTACCTTGCCGGTGTGTGGAAGCAAGATCTAGCCCGAGGTTTGGTTTGGTACCTTGGAAGGAGGCAAAAATCTGGCCTTTCTTTGAAAGATTACATCCGAGGTCGGGAATCGCCTGATCCATTTATCGCTCCTTCTTGGAGTTGGGCTTGCGAGGAGCAGTCACTTGAATTTTGCAGCAGCAATAGAGATTTCAGGTGTGGCTATCAATCTGAGAGCTGTATAGATGGATGGACAGCGCCAAAATCTTTGAATACCCGGGGAGAAATTGATGGGGGACTTCTGAGAATAGAAGGCAAGGTATGTCGCATTCCAAGTAGTATTACTGTGAATATAAACGACCCCTGGTCAGATGGTTATGAGGTGTGGGACTTATCAATACAGAATGAGTATCTGGCGGACTGCGTTATCGATTGGAAGGCAAGTTCAGACACTCATGAACCCGGACAACTTCACATGGTTTTACTAGGAAGCTGCAACCTCCACCATCCCTGCCATAACCGAGATTTGCCTATAGATAAAGATTCAGACGAACGTGGTTCACAGGAGACTAGCGATGTAGATCTTCATGAAGAAGTATCTGATCAGGAGGACGAGAATGACGAAAGCAGTGACGGTGAAGCTCCTGCAGCTGAAGCTATCGAATATGACATATTCGAGGGACAGATTCATCAACCTCACCAATGGACTAGCAACAACGAAGACACCGAGGATGGCTCAAGCGCTGACAATGACAGCATAGCCAGCAACTGTAGCATGGGTATGCACTCCAGGAGGGAGAAGGAGCGATGCGCCTATGGGCTTCTTATCCATCCATCTCTGAAGCATGCTGGGAAGTATATTCGCGTGGGCATTTTCTTTTCTGAGCCAGCAGGTCGTGGTGGTATGGACTTTTTTGAAGCTTGTGAAACTCAGACTGTTGAGATTATCTAAGCATCGGCCCACTGGAGATTACCTTGGATCGGAGGAGGCGACCAGCTTAGACTGTATGGTTCTTGCGTCTCATTCATTTATTATATCCTTTGTCCTCTATTTCTTCGAAAACAGTAATCCAAGGTTTCGAGTAGACATGTCTCTTACGTAATGTTACGACATCCTTACCTTCTACCTTGAAAGCAATCCGCAAGCCCTTAGTACAGACAAATACACCATCGCCTTTTTTATCGTCATTGACAACTTCTTTTGAATGGAGAATACTCTAATTTGGCTATGAGTCTTATTCTTAATCGATCACTTTCATTATCATGTCTCCGCTATGAAACATATCTAGCATGATTGTTATTTCCACTATGACGGGCTGACCCCTTGCTTCACCGGCAACTTCACAAAGTATATGTTGTATTTTATATTCAAGATACCAACAACGGCCATACATACATAAGGCAGACTTGCTCATCTGTCTGTGCTGTGCTGTCATGTCATGTCATGTCACATCACGATTCATAACTCCTCAACATGATCATCTGCACCCAACCATTCATTCATCCACCCACTATAACCCCTGACACCTTTTCAACCCTGCTGCCCGCCATCATCAACCCCCCTTGGCAAACTGCGCCCTCGCAGCATCCACCTCCCGCTGCAACGCATCCAAATCAGCCAGTATATCATTCGCAGCACTGTCCTGCGTCTGGCTCCGCGGCCTGCCACCCCCCTGCTCCTCGCCCAGCTCCCCCGGTTCCTCACTCACGCTCCCTACTACGGCCCCAGCCGCAGTAGAAGGCTCCTCCACCACTCGTCCACCCATGACCTTCACACTATCCACGCTCGTCCGCCTCTGGCCCAGGCTCGGCGCGTCCATGCTGCCCTTACTGCTCCCCCTTGCCCTCGGCCTCGGCGGCGGCGGCGGAGCTGGCGCGCCTCCTTCCCTTTCCCTGGGGACGCGGCGCGACGTTCCGTCGAAGCTGGACACGCTGGGCGGACGGCCGCCGCCGGGGACGCGCACGGAGGAGTTCCGCGCGGGCGGAGGCGGCGGGGGAAAGAGTTTCGGCTGGGAGGCAGAGTGTGGTATGTGCGGCGCCGAGACGGAGGACGGAATGCTAATGCTCGCGCCGGGAGAGATGGCGCCGAAGTCGCTTCCTGGGCTGATCGCCTCAGCGAGGTGGGGTGGCGCGTGTCCGTGGAAAGGGGGATGGCCCATCGGGGAGCGCTCCGCGTCGCTGAGGGCGCTGGGACTGGTTGCGCTGGTGGAGCTCGCGGCTGAGGCGAAGCTCACGGCTGTGGGGCTGATGAAGGAGTTGGAGGCTCTGTTGCCGTGGTTGGGTCTCCGTGGAGGAGGCGGTGCCGGTGCAGAGATGTTGACGCGGATGCTAGACGATCTTGATCTCTGGGAGTCGAGGGATGAACGCGGTGGGGCCTGCTCGGAGTCGTCGGCATAGGCGGTAGGTGATGTTGATAATGGAGGAGGCACGCCTGTGATGGATGGCGGTTTGCTGTCTGTCCGGGCATGTCCGGGCTGCCGCCTCGGAGGCGGCGCAGGCTTCCGTAGTGTTGAAGTTGGGTTTGGCACCGGAGTCGAGGATGAGTGTGAGGCATTGGGTGGTGTTGGCGGCCGGGGTGACGGGATGACATCTACCTCGGGGTCGATGTCGAGCTCTGGTATCTTGCCAGCTGCTTCGCGGTCGAAGATGCTCTCCCTGTCCTCGTCCACCGACTGCCTGGCCGGTGCGGGTGGTAGAGGCTTGTTGATATCGCTCGACGAGGGTCGCTCTGTGGGCGAGGCCACCTTGATGCTGCCGTGTCCGGATGATCCGGGCCTGTCTGCAGCAGGCGTGTCTCTCCGGCCCTCTTCGCTCTTGAGTTCTATCTTGATCAGCTTCCCGTGTCGTGAGCCGGGCGGGGGTGGAGGCTTCTTTTTCGATGCCGGAGGTGGGGGCTTAGCAGCGCGTGCTTCTTCGAGTTCGGGCTCGGATATCTCGTGGGATGTTCGGGGTGTCTCCTGCGGCAGGTGTGCCGAGTCGAATATGGACTGCCGGGATATAGAAGATGCGTCTGTGATACTGCCGCCGTCGCCGGCTACTCCTGTCGGATGCAGATGGGACGGCGAAGAGGCAGCGGGACTGGACACAGCAGCAGGCACCGGACCTTGGCCCGTTAATAGCAGCCTCCTGAATGCCCCGACGTCCATGCCCCCTTTTGCAGCCGCGGTGCCCTGCTCCCCTTCCTTTGCACTCCGCTCCATATCTTCCAAGGTCTTCTGGAAGGGATTTGGCGGAGCGTGCCCTATGCCCACCGGCTGCGACGGCGGCAGCGAGGGCTGTTCTATCCTGTCATCCCCGAGGCCGACATCGTCCGCCATGCCCGGGGGTGCATTGCTGAAAGGATCATCTCGGTCGGTGCTGAGGGACTCGCTGCTGCTGGTGCTCTCCTCGTCGTCGCTCCGATTCGGCCGCGGATACTTCGGATAGGCGTGGACGGCGTGTGCGCTCTCGGGACTAGAGGGAGGAGGGCTCTGGACGCGGACCTTCTTGACGGGCTTCTTCTTCTGGAAGGTCGTCGAGGGCGGAGGGGCGTCGGACTTGGGCAGAGCTCGGAGGAGCTGTTGGAAGTCATCGCCAGTCGAATGGCTCGATAGTGGGGGTTGTGATAGCGGTGGGCCTGCGGGCGAGTCTGAGCGGAAGGGAGAGGGGACCTCGCCGTCGAGGAATGCTGATGACGATGCCGACGATCCTGGAGGAGGGACGGCGTTCGATGCAGCAGTAGAGGTTGCGGATTTCCGGCGGAAGGGGTTGTTGGTGCCGAAGCTCGAGTCGCCGGCCATGATAACTATCGTCTTGTGGTGGTGGTGATAGTGGTGATAGTCCGAGAGCTATGCTGAGATGTCAAGGCTCTTTCATGCTCTTTGTGGTTGGGATGCGGCCATTGTCACAAAGACCGGCAGGACTCGAATGTCGCAATACTGATCGTACTCGAGTCGAGTCGGATCGAGTCGTGAGTTGTGTAGAACCGCGAGCTGTTTGAGTGATTGAGGTTGATTACGAGCGCTCTGACGAAGCCAGCCGCAGCCAACAAAACGGTGAGGTGCTTGGGTCCCGCCTACCGCCTACCGCCCACCGTTGAACTGACGTGGGGTGGTGCCCGCCGGCTCAGAGTGGATCAATCTCCAATCCAATCCAGATCAATCCCCCTTCATGCCCACACACCACAGCTCCGATATGCATATGCTCTGCTGGCTGATCCGCGGTGTTGAGCTCGCAATTCTGTCGGAAGAACCGGCTGAATACGGTTTGTATTGTCAGTGTTGTAGAGAGCTCAATTGCCTCCAAACTCTCGCTTCATTCAGCTGCGAAGCTGCGATGATACCGCCATTTGATTGATTGATCCCGGAGTTTCTTCAAGATTTCGACGTTATCGACCCTCAATCAGCTAATTACAGTAGGTAGTGGCCGGTTCTTCAGTAACATCAAACGGTGTACTGTAATAATACTGTACTATACGGCGGGGTGAATGAGGCGGATGCCTGCCTTATCGAAAGCAAGAGCTGCCGCACGCACGGGCCATCTCACGTAATCTGCAATGCCAGTCCATATCCATACCTCGAATGCGACAACATCTTGAACAACAACCCACAATAACAACATCATATCACGCCTTGTAGCTGCCTGCAATATGAGGGGCCTCCAAAGTCCAGAGTGCTAATGACACGGGCTGAGTACCTATGCAGTGGTATTGTTTCGTTCATACAGATCACTTCAAAAGACTCACCAACCCACCACTGCTTAGCTTGATAACTATCTGTGTTCGTTTCACCCGAATCCCTTGTACCGATAACCCGGCTTACCATTTGGATCCAGTCGCCGAAGAAACTTGATATCCAAATGCTCCAGTGCTTTATAGTATGGGAAGTGACTACGCCAATTTTGCCTAGCCCGTTCAATAAAAGCCAACGGTGGAAATGGGCACCCCGACCGCTCGTCAAACATCACACACCACTCGCAGTTGGAGTCGGTTGCTCTGACCGTTGGCCAGACATGTTTGGCCTGGCCATCGTCTGTAACACATTTGCAAGTGGCGTCTTTAACCCAAGCATAGTCCATGTATAAGCCGAAGTCTTCCGGGTCATCGGCCGCAATCCTGGCGATGTAGAAGGTTTTGAGGTTAGGGAAACACGCAAGAAACGGCGGTAGCGGTTCTAGTCTGCAGCAGTCTGCGCATGCTTCCGTATCACACATGCAGTCACGATCGTCCACGCCCCATTCTGTATCCCGACCACCGCCCATGTGCCCGAACTCAAAGGCACCGTAACTGATGCCGACGTTTTGCATAGGAAGAAACGACCGCGGTGACTGGCCTTGGAGCTTGACGATCCTTTGCACGGCTTGTTGGTCTTCCCAACCGGCCTCGAAAATGAAGATATCCTTCTGGCCGTTGAAGCGAAAAGTGAACTGCGGAGGTTGAGACACCCCTTCCGGTTCGACACCGTTCCACCTGCGAAGACTTTTAAATTCTAAAGTATCCGGAAGTAACTCAACGAGAATTTGCCTTGATTCGCGGCAGATCGATGACGCGGTTCGACTGGCGAATGTGGAGTCCATGAACTGTTGGCCATGATTGTCTTCATCTGGAAGCAAAGCGCAAAGTACAAGAGTAACGCGATCAGAGTTTTGCGGGTAGTAATTGCGTCGTAAGATGTCACTGGCGTCGGGATGGTCAGACCGGAGCGACTCCTCTGGATATCTGACGGAAAGCCTGTACACTCGGGGGGTCACTTCCGCTTCGTTTAAATACTGAAGCCATATTTCGCGCCGGAGTTCTGCAGGTAGAGCGAGAAAACTGTGGAATGTTGGATCTGCGTAACTGTCATTTGTGCTAGTTAATGACCCAAGTTCTCGTGATTGTTCGTCATGGCCTCGCATGTTCATCTCGTGTTCAACAACCATTTTCATGTTTCTCTGTGGTCTAATTAAGTAACCGATAGGTTTCATTCGCACAGCCAAACCCGGCAAAGAATATGGGTTATTGCAAGATAATAGAAACCTAATGCAAAGAAGAAAAAGGTGATTAAAATGCTTGCCGCAGAGGTTAAGGAAAGAGATGAGGAAAACTGCGAGGTTATATGCACTGGCAATGGGTGTTGGCTGCGAGTGCTGCCCAATCAAAGGCGCCAGCCAGGGGGAGATTGATTGAGATGGTGGGTTCGTTGGTTGTTGGTGCTTCAGCCACGTTTGATGCCTGACGCCCGGCAACCCACTACACAGGATTTTATAGCAGACGGCAAGATGGAGCGCCGCTCGGACAACACAAATCCGTGTGTTGCAGTTATTTTTACTGTCTAGAGATTCTTGCTAAATTTGTGGACTTTGTCCAAGTATCAGTACCGGTACACTACACTGCTAAAGTCATGATGACAGCAATTGTTTTATTAAACACAACAGGCAAAACGTAACAGCCTGTTCTCAGTTACTAGATGTCGTGCCGCAAGTATTCACTTTGCCAGGCATATTTCGGGGGAATTCAGGTCATCCTGCAACACTTTCAATCACTGGTCAAATGTGTAGTTAAGCATGCATTTGTAAAGGCCATCGCAGAGAGTAACAAACAAGCAGTAATACAACCAATATTCAGACAGTCTCTTGAAAAACAATCATCTGACATCGTGTTCTTGAAAAGAACGACACAAAAGCCACGTTGTGTCAAGGCTTTCCTCCCTTTCTAGGATCGATCGTGTAATCTGGCACGTGGCTAAGAGGAGCATCGCCCTTTGACCAGATTACGACACCATCTTCCCCGGCTTTAACCTTGTTCAGAGCTGTATCTTTATCCCAGCGAACTATTCTTTCCACCTGAGTGCCTTCTTGAGTTGCGACGTTCACTTCATAATGCGTCCAGTAACTATCGTCTGGTAGGTTATCACCATCAGCTTTCGAGAATAGCACATGGAGTTCTTTGGGACGACGAGAAGCTAAAGCGGCGAATTTCTCTGATTTGATTCCAGCTGTAACCCACAACTTGTCTGGGTGGATAAAGTCGTATGTGTTCTGAGCATCCGTGTATGCAGGATTGGCGTAGACATTGGTGACGTGCTTCAGGTCCACGTTCTTGTAGTCTTTCATAGTCGAGGCAAATTTGTTTCTCAAGGTCTTTGCATCCGGTCCTACTGTAAAGAGAAGGACATCATCAGGCTCCAGTCGAATCTTGCCCGCCGCTTCGGCAACCGTGAATCGGTCCCAACAAATTGCTTCATCACTACCATCCGCGAAACCCGCTGGACGACCAGTATCTGTGTTACTGGAAGAACCAACGCCTGGTCCCTGTCTGGTGTTCGGCAAGTCTGGAGCTGGTCTTTTAGACCCTGATCCACCGCTGCCACTACCGCCACCGGTCTTTGGTTTGCCTATAGATCCTCCACGACCTGCACGCTTCTCAACAAGAACCGTGCTGGTATAGGATCCATCGTTACAATGGGGCTCTAAGCCAAAACATTGTCATTAAAATCTCGCAATTCGTCAGATTCTCAACTACATACCTTGACCAGGATGATAAGCAAGTTCAGCAGTCTTAAGGGAGGGAGATTCGTTGTACACTGATGCAACTCTGGCACTTCCCAGTGACAATAGGGTGAGTAACAAGAGCCCTAAGGCGAGAATTGTGGATTTGAGCTGCATATCCTTAGAGACTTATGTTGGTTTCGCTGGAATGTCTGAATATGAAAGGTTGCCAGTCTAACACCAGAAGTCTCGTCGTGAAGAAATGTAATTTTGCTGAAGCGTAGACTCATTGTCTTTAACCTACAACGAGGTCCTGCCATCTTATACTCGGAATCAACACTCGATATTCTGAAGTAGGCGCCGCCATCTCTCACCTCGACAACCATTTCCCCAAGGAATAGCTCCGAACTCTCGGAAACTTTGAGCGCTGGCACAATTGGCGTTAGATGAAACAAACTTTCTGTTTCTTGGCCATAACTTGAAGCCTTCATAGATCTTTTCTAAGATCTTTTGCACGGGTTCATGAAATGCCGTACCTCTTATAGCTCTGAGAGGTGGAAGTCCAGGTCTCGCCAGGCTAAATTTAGCACCATGTGCCAACAACGTGAGGTCGCAAGGCAGACCAACATCCGAGAAATTGAAAGAAATGTGTCCAGAATCTACATCTACCCACTGAATACTGGCATACGTTTAGACTTCGACTTCAATTATGAAGGTCGAAAGGTTGGTTTCGGCCGCACCCATTGGTGGCGCAGGCGCTCTATTCGTGGACCAACAGCACAATAGCCGGGCAACACGCGCGGAAGAGTCTTGAGCCGACATAACACCACACCACCTCTATTATTGGTGAGAAAACACCAACTGCGTCTACGGTCTCGTCAAGCTCATGTTGCGGTAGAGTATGGAAGTTCATTGAAGGCGTTGAAACTCAAACAACGAGATTGGCATCGACGATAAAAGGTGGCCGATTGTCACCAGTGCCTCGAAACATGAAATATGAATCAACATCTCTTAAAGCAATTGGCAATATCTTGCTCTAGACCTTCTCATATCATACTCTTTACGTGAACCCGTATCACTTGTTCGCCTTGTCTTGGCTTCTACTTGAACATCAAATCACACCAAGATTCAATTCGTCATCTGACTACAAATACTCACCACAACCATGGATCTCGCAATCATCGCCCTCAGCTCCGGCGCCATGGTCGGCCTCGAGCAGATCTTCACCTTCGACACGCCCGCGCCGAAGCTAGTCACCGTACAAGTTGGCTCCGGCAGCTCCTTCGACGACACGCAAGACGCCGCGCTCCTCGGGCCCGTGCCCTCCTTCACCTTCTACGACTTCAGGGGCGCGCTCATCGACCACACGCAGAAAGCCCCCGGCGACCACGGGCAGGCCGGCCTGGGCCAGGCTCTCTTCACAGCCAAGCACGGCGAGGGCCGCTCGGCGCTGCGGCAGATCGAGACGCCCATCCACCCGGAGTACGTCAAGATGACGGTGGCGTCGGAGGGTAAGGACGACGTGTGCATCTCGTACATCCTGATCGTCGACTCGGTCGACACGCCCGCCGTCAACCTGCTGTACGCGTAGAACGGGTCCATCGGGCAGCAGTGCGGCATGCCGTGGTACGCGAGCGAGACGTTCCTGCCCTCGGCGTCGCAGGACTTCAAGCCGCCGTGCGTGTGGTTCAGCGCCAACGGCAACGGCACCCTGCCGCAGGGCATGTCGTTCCGGCTGCGCGACATGTCGGACCTCGACTGCGACAAGGCCGTCGGGCTGGCGGACCAGTACGCCAGCTTCAACGACACGCTGTGCGCGGCGCCGGCGCGGCTGCAGTTCTGGCGGGAGACGACGCGTGAGAGCTGCATCCCGCGCTACACGCAGTTCCCGGCCAAGGCGGCGAATGGGTCTGACGCGAATCACTTTGAGGCGATGCATGGCCATGTGCTTGACAACGACTGCAATCCGGGTGTGCCTTGGAGTAGCCCTGACAACCTCTTCAAGCCACCTCCAATTCCCGGGAGGGGATCTTTTGGAGGCACGTCGGGCTTCATACCAGCATCGGATGTCCCAGGACAAGGGGCATTTGGAGGCACAACGGGATTCATTCCCATAGACACCCCTCCTAGCAGCGATGATGACAGCAATGGGGATGAATCAGCTTGCACAAGTGACGATCCAACCGAGGACTGTGGTGATGTGGGCGACGTCGGGGATGGGGATGGGGATATGTTCAGCGACGGCGATGAAGGCACAGATATGACAAGCACAAACCCAACAGCTACCACCACCCTCTCAACACGCTCAATGGGCCACATGAAGACGATCCCCGGCACGCCCACACCCACGCCAGACGACACCGACACCGACGCGCTCCGCCTCGCCCGGCGCCATCGCACGCCACAAGAGCGCAACCCCAGCGACAACGATAAGTGTCACGATCAGCTCACGATAAGTGAACACGCGCACCACGCCGGCATGGCGCGGCAACTCTGCGAGAGCGAGACGTCACTGGGGCCGGACTTTGTCACGACGGCGGGAAGGCAGTTCTGCGACATGTGCACGCGGCGACTGTGGCCATTATGCAGCGCGGACAGTGTTGACAATGCCGACGATGGCTGCTTCCACTTGGAAACGAAGGCACTGCGGTTGCGGGCGCCCGCAGGCTCACGGCGGCGCGACGAGGTGCAGAGGAAGAAGTACCGGCGCGTGGATCAGTGGAGGCGCAAATGAGTAGGCGATACGGTTCAATTGGTGTTGGTGTTTGGAGTACCTGGATGGTTAGAATTTGGCTCCATTGAGCTCCTGATTTAGCAATTCACAATGCACGTCTGTTTCTGCTCTGTAATGCATGGTCAATCTTGCCCAAGAACATCCTCTAGGCAATTGCATTCGGCGAGACGAAATTCAGTGTCCAGTCCATTATTCCGGATGCGGTCGTGAGGCTGCTTGCTATGGAATGTGCCGCGATTCTCCGCACGTGACACCCCTTTTCGCTAACACGAGGCCTGCCAAGCTAAGACGAAGTGGGCTCGAAAATGTAAACAAACCCATGACGCGCCTCGAGGGACCACCCCCATGCATAGCAGTTGGAGGAATTGAAATCGCATTGCAATCACGTAGACGCATTCGGGATTTCATGAGACCAGATTATGTTTTCAAAAGTCATGTTCGTCACTGTACCACCCCGCGTCCCTTCATTGGTATAATTACAAGCAATCCCAGCTATCGTCAAGATTCATTCGCATCCCTGTCCGCCCGGGGACGTTCTCTGGCCTTGCCTTGGGGAAGAAATGCGCATCGCCGGCTGATAGTAGTAAAAGGGAAGTCGTCCCGATCACACAGATTGCGGAAAACACCAGATTGGTATCTTCGCATCGAGATCGAGGGACCAGCTCCCCGTAGTTACTCAGCAAACATATTGATGCCCAAAGCGTGACATGCCATGCCAGAGGTTAGGGCGGGTATCCGGGGGTGCACAGAAACCATCCGGGGAGTTCCAACCACTCCGTACACAGCGCACGCGCGTACAACACACACATCGCCATCCCAGCCAAATCCAGAAGATACACAAATACGTAGCCATTTACCCCGATTGTTCCCTGAACGCCGATTGACCGTCACAACACAAACATCACAAGAGGAAGAGTTAGACATCAAAGCGTGGCCACTGGACCACCGCTCATGCGGCGGCGGCGGGCTTCTCCTTCTTCTCCTTCTTGGGTGCGGCCTTCTTTGGTGCAGCCTTCTTGGCGGCGGGCTTAGTGGTGGTCTTGGTGACGCGGCCAGACTTGGTCTTGCTCAGCGTGGTGGGCTTGTCAACGACAGCGGGAGCCTTTGTGAAATGTGTAAGCTTGATGCGCGATATGCCTATCGAGTTGTATGGCGTGCCGCGCTTGTGCTCAGCCAGGGGTGTTGACTTACGGCAGCCTTCTTCTCCTTCTTGGGGGCAGCAGCCTTCTTGGCAGCAGCAGGCTTCTTCTCCTTGGGCTCCTTCTTGGTAGCGGTCTTCTTGGGAGCAGCCTTCTTGGCGGCGGGCTTCTTAGCAGTGGTCTCCTTCTTGGCGGCAGGCTTCTTGGCCTCCTTCTTGGGAGCGGGCTTAGCAGCCTTCTTCGCCAGCTTGGTACCGCCGGAAGCACCTTGAATGAAATGTTAGCGAGGTGCAATTGACATGGAACCATGACTCGAGACAAGACGGCATGACATGCATGCATGTCTCGGGATGATGGTTGGAGGGATGCGATGCTTACCCTTGGGCTGCTCGAAGACGCCCTTCTCAACACCAGACTTCAGGGCCTTGTTGAACAGGGAGTCGAACATGTTGTCGGTGGTAGTGATGTTGTTGTTGGCCTTGACATACTTCTTGAGGCTCTGACGGCTGTTGTGGTCGAGTCAGCAAAGTGTCTCACGGGGAAAATGTGGCGATAGCCTCACTGCGACCGTGGCTGATGCACGGGCGCGTAAGAGTGCGGGCGGAGCTAAAGAAAGCTTCTTACCTGGAACCATTTCGATCCTTGAGCTGTATAGCAGAAAGACGCGTCAGTACAATTGATTTACGAGTTGTGGCAGGCAAAACGTGGACGCGTGGACGCCCAAACATGTCCAGTGCAGGTTACGTCGCCGTGCAGCGGTCGCCGGCGACCCCTTCCCACACGGAATGCGCCGGAAGAAAAGGAACGGGAAATCATACCGCAATAATGGCGTCAGTGATCATGTCCTGCAGCCTGTTAGTCCCTGAGGCGATTCCCAAACAGCCGGAAAGGAGCGGGCATACCTGGTAGCTGGCGTGAGTGCTGGCGGACTTGGCCTTGGGGGCAGCAGCGCCTTCGGTCTTCTTGGGAGGCATGGCGATTGTTGGTGGGTTGGTGGATTAAACTGGTGTTTAGTTTCGGGATGTCTTTTGACGACTGATGATGTCGGATGGAAGATGAATCGAGACGAGATGCCTGAAGCCGAAAATGTGTGTTGGTTACGGATGAAGTGGAAAGAGAAGCAGAAGCAGGAACGGGGAGTTGGGATCGGCCGCGGTCGTGGGAGGGCGCCGTGTTTATATACGGGAGCGGGGGTCGCGCCTCGATCAGTACAATCAGTACTACCTATGCCTCCCGCTACACTGTTGCTCCAGCTAGCGCACCCGGCACACCTCAATTCTGAGACCACCTCGAGCATTGAGCACAGCAATAGCTAAACTAAACTGTCGACTTACACCCGCTCCCGGCAGCCCATCCATCTCCTCTCTGTCTCCTCCTCCTCCTCCATATCCCCTTCTTCATTCTCCCACATTCTCGTCCTCCCTCCCTCCCTCCTTCCCTCCCCGAGTTCCTTCTCTTTCCGTTTTCTTTCTTCTACCTTGCCTGTTTCTGAAGAAGCTCTGGCCACTTTTTCTCCATCTGTTCGTTACACTAGATTAGCCTCCCAAACTAATTACATAACATAGCCTAACTTAATTGTCGTCTGTCGCACCTGCATGAATTGATTTGATCTGCCACCATTCCCGACACTTCCACCACCCACCTCCTTCCTCCTTTTCCCCAGCTCCCACGATGCATTCCATTCCATTGCCATCCATTACCGGGAAATGTTGCACATTAATGTCAACATCATTATCGTCGTCGTTCAGGCACAGCTTCTTCATTCGTCTATCCATGTATTACTGATGCAGGCAACACTGTAATTCTTATTTAGACCACAGGCGCCTCCCGCTCTCCTCCAATGCGCCTTCCACATCTTTTGCCCTTGTCTCTTTCTTTCTACAATGGCAAATGCGTTAAGGCTCCCACGTGCATGCCCGCCTCACGTGTGGCTCTTTCTCTCGATGGCGACGAAGAGAAGTGCCATGTCACGAGGGTGGAGTCATGGCTGTTGTGTTCTTTCCTGACCGCATGATGTGATGAGCGAGGAGGGGCGATGGGCGATTGGATCATCCCTCCATCGCGGTTTCCCTCCTCACCAATCCACTGGTCTGGCTGCGTGTAAGTGAGATAAGATAGAGCCCACTAGCGCCAAACCGCCCACGGTAAAGAAGGTCAAGAAGAAAAAGGTAAGGCAGTAAGGCAGTTTTGGTTTTAGTTTGGTTTTAGCCTGGGCATGGAGCGTGCGTGTAAGAAACCGGGATGGCGCTTTCCCTCTTCTGACGGGCGTTCCAGATCACTGATTCGAGTGTGGGCAAGTAACAGATCACCTGCCACCTGCCGCGCCTGCTGTCGCCTTTTTTTAATCCGGACATGGAAAATGCCCACATCTGTGACGTCCTATTTTCTGATTGGCCGGAGCTCAACAACAAGTCATCCACTTTGTACCTTCCCTCACACTCTCAGAGATGATCGAAGCTTCCGTCTGCTCCCTCACATCTCGCCCGGCATCCCCCCGAATTTTGGGATCTCTCTTTCCCTCTCTTCTCTCTCTTTCTTTCCTTTCTCCTTCGTTCCTGCCTCTGCCACATCTTTTCCTGAGGGCGCTTGCGTCACTGCCAATCATCGTGTTCTGTGGGGTCGATTTGCACTGGACAACTCCGGTCTAAGCCAGCTTTTCTCGGCAGTCGCCCAACATTTTCACTTTGTCACTCGTGCAGCAAATTCGTGTTATCGCCGTCTCATCAATGCAATCGCAGGCATCTTGTCGCATCCCACATGGCAGCCGCCCAACCCATGTTATCACTTGCGTCAATCCCTTCTTCCGATTGCCCCGATTGAGCGCTTTTTTCTGATTCCATTTTTGTCGCTTTTTGCATGGGTCCCTCGCGGTGTTTTTTCGGCCGTGTCCAAAGTCCCCTTTTTTCGTTTTGTTGTGGTCGCCGCACGTCGCGTCTTACAAGAGCGTGAAGCTATCCGCACATCGATGCACGTCAAGGACAATCCCTCGCCGTTGCCACCCTTTTCTACTTTCTACCTCGAGAGTGGGTATGACTCTTCCTTGGGGAGTCATCCATGCTCTCAAGTTATTTTTCAAAGATTATCTTGAGCGTTCGTCGAGGCTGGATGTAAGATTCAACTTGGCCGATTGACGCAGCCGCAGATCGCGCCGTTTGCGCCTGTGTCGCAGCCTAGCATCAGCCATGGCATTGCATTATCCTTGCTAAGAGGCAGCAGGATGGCGACGAGTACAAATTCATGCTCTTAAGTGAGAGACAGTTGATTTTTCACGGAACGGTCGGCCAGCCGGGCTGCTTAGGTCTGAGCCGTTGCGCGACATCCAATATGCGCTGAGCGAAGGATGACTCAATCGAAATCATCCTAATACTCGCAGCATCCAAGCACACATGTTTCAACACCGGAATCATGAATACGTTAATACATTATTGAGACAGGCATTGAGGCTCCGTGACGATTTGGGTTGAAGCATATTCTTGGGAAGACGACACGTTGAAATCCTGCATGAACTAACCCTGTAAACAATCAAGCCGCTGAGATCGCGTTCGACTCACTATCTTCGGCGTTTCTTTAAGTTAACCGTGAGATATCTCGATTCGCGACGATGGAGGAATGTAAGCCTTGCAGCATTCACAAAGGACCCGCCCCTGGTCGCTCAGGATCCGGCCCGCCCTCCTTTCATGGTCGGCCAGGGATACGAGTACCAACCAAGATGAAGCCTTGCATATGTTCGAACGCTACATCTATCCATTATATACCTCCTGTTTTCCTAAGTGGTTCACTTCATGGAGACCAGTCTGCACAATTCAGCGCCAAGTTCAAATTGCCTGCTTGAACCACCTCTAGGTGCCCAAAATTTGAGCTCTGATTTTAATTCAAAGTCAGCACGTCATGGGTTGACTTGAGGTCATAGAAGGACGTGCTCCAAGGAAGAGCGACCGTTTCCTCGGAAAAGAACTATCCGGGGATACAGGAAATCAAGCGAGGAGAGTACGTGCTCCGAAATATGCGATTATCAGGATTTTCTTCCATTTAGTACCATTTCGTGCATCGTTCTTCAATCTTACGCATTTCCAGACTTGTTCAAGATCCTTCTAGTCTACATGGGTGTACGTCAAAGGCCAAGACCCCGCACGGCGATCTATTCGCTCACTTGCAAATGGGTCGGTTAGCCGTAACATGGATATCGTTGAATGTCAGCGACGGTAACGGGAATATGGCTTGAACATCAGACTCGCTAACAGCGACCATTGCATCAAAACAATATCAAATCTCATTTGAGCTGCAGATGTCTCCACCGGAACAGAACCTCTGCCAAATACAGAGAAAAGTCCAAAGTATTAGCCCTTTAACATGGGGCTGCCGTGCACTCGCAGTTAATGCCGCCTGGAGCTTGGCACTGTGGGCAACAGCAACACCCATTTCCGCACTGGGTACCCGTTTCACCCGGACAACATTGCGTACTGCCCGCATCACATATTCCGTTGTTCGCCGAATTGCAGTTTGCACACCGCTCAGTGAGCGGGTCGCAGATTGAGGCCCTCACTTCTGCGCATAAAGCGCCGACGGCTATACCTGATAAGCCGGGCGCCGCGCTTGCACAGAAGGCGGCGCATCCTGCTGCTGCCGGACCGAGCGGAGCGCACGCTGCTCCACATGCAGCGCCGGCGATTACCGACACACCAGCACCGGTGAGCGTACCCAAGCTCGCACACACTGCTGTTGCTATTATGTTCGCTTGTGTACCACAGTATGTTTGCTGGTCTCTGCAGTCCGGGCATGTCTGGAAGCACTGTCCGGTCCGGCTGCAGGTGCTCAACTGCTTACGTGTTAACTGAAGATCCGACTTCCAGCGGCCTAGCAATGGTGCGTCCGCGGTGCTCCGGGAATGCTCGAGGCCTTCCAGCATGCTCCGTGTCAGGTCGTGAACCTCTCCAGTGCCGAATGTCCGTTTCTCATGCCTTCTAGTGTTGTTGCGTCCCGTACAGGTTGCGTTCGGTTCGTTGATGATTATCTGATAATCCGATCCACCGGCTGCGAAGTCCGAAGCGCATGTTTGGAATCCATTCAACACCTCGTTTGTTATAGCGGTCAGTTGGCCTACAAATTGCGAATTTGCCAATAGTTGCACACAGTAGGCATTCTCCGTAGGATCAGTGTATATATGGCATGGGTCTGGACCCAGTGCCGCCAAGAAGTCGCTTGGGGTCGTGAGTCCCAGTATTGCGCTCTGTATGCGATAGTCCACCAACTGCGGACTTGCGATTGAGTTGCTTGCCAATAAGCCGTTCATCACATCGAAACACGATGCTGTGTAGCTCGTGCAATTGCCGGACCCGGGGACGGCGGCGCAGGCGCCTGATTGGCAGGTGGTGCCGGATGCGCACTACAATAGAGGTGGTTAGCATGGAGCGCTACTTAAAGTAGTCAGATTTGAGAACTAGAACTGAGAACTAGATCTAATAACCGAACCCCTGGGGTTGGAAATGAGGCTCCAAAAGCCAAAAAGTACTTATACATACCGAGTGCCCGCAAGCCCCACAGTTGTTGTTGTCAGAAGTCAAGTCCGGGCATGTCCCGTTGCAAGGAGCCTTGCCAGAGTTGGTGCAAACACAGGCGCTTGATGAGCAGGTTGAACCGGCGACGCACTGGGCTTTTGTGAATAATTGTGGTGAAGTCACGGCAATCTCTTGGAACTTACCACGTTCCCACAGGCACCACAGTTGTTGCTGTCCGAACTGGTATCGCCACACGCTGACGATGGCGCTGGCTGCCCATCCCCCAGATAAATTAGCCATGTCTCACTAACCATCAAGTAAATCAAGGATCGCTCTACTCTGTCCCATAGAAAGAACAGGACGGGACTCACCACATAACAGGAACAAGCAGAGCTCAAGCGCGACGATTGAGTCGGGCCAGACCCACACGCCGTGGCGAACTGGGGAGGGAGAGACGTCGTGGCCGTTACATTTGCTTGGGTGTATGAATGGCAAAACGACGTTGCAGCAGCGGAGCGCGTAGGGTTTCTAAGGGCACGCAGGCAGTTGTCGGCGTTACAGCCTGCCGTAGCAGCGGCCCAAGGGCTAGCAAGGAGCGGAACAATGACAAGGGAGAGAAAGAGCTTCATAGTGTGCAAGCCTTATGGTGGATCGACGAAGAATTTAGGTTCCAGTGCAAAAGAGAAGAGTACTCCGTATATCTGTAATTTGGTGTCCGCGTCAAAAGAGGGACCTGATGGGCATGAGGGGGTTCTTATTTACTTTTAAAGCTAGGTAAGGATTTTCTGTATCACGTAGAGTCAGCCTGAAATCGTCACGCGTTTATCCCTGACCTTACTCTCTTTCTACACTATTGATTTGTGGACTATTGGTTTGCGGCTGGAACTCTTGATGTGCGGCATCCATTCATTATTCCACCGACATCCAGTGTAAGTCTTGCTGCGATATCCGGAGGCTTGCATGTGGTGGGATGAACAATAACTAGTCTTGGTGGATATTATGCAGGAACGTCCTCCTTGCATCGTTCAGCCCTAGCTTGTATCACTCAGCCCCAGATTGGAATCGTCGGCTCTCGCTCAAATACGTGTCTGGTTGGTCCGACGGGCACCATGTCTCACTTCTGATTGGATGCCGAGACGTGATTCCTTGGTGTGGCTGTATAATGAGCTGTGACAAAACATATACACTGTGCTTCCGTGCCAATCGCGCACGGAAGGCCTTCCTTTTGCCAATGTCTCAATTGTCACATGAGCTTATTTATTTCCGACTAGAACAAAAGTTGAAACTAGTCAAGAAGGCTCAGGGAAGACAAGACTAAAGACTAGGGAGTAGGGTCATGGCCCGGGACATTCCAGGTAGGTCGATTATGGATATAGATCCTGAGACAACTCGGAAGACTGCCACCTTTGGTGAAACGCCGCTCTCGAGGGTTGAATCGGAGAACATCTCACCTCTGGAGCAAGTACGACACTAGCGGATCTTTGTGGAGTACACATGGTCCAGGCATTCCGCAGTATGATCTTATTTTAATAGCAGCAAAGGTCACCCAACTCATCTTATTGGTCGGAGCCTCGTGAGCCGAGGTAAGCCTAGTCTGCAAAACTGCCGTATTGGCATATGTGCTTGAGGAAGACAAAGAGGTACTATCGAGCACTGCGGCATATGCTGCTGTGTTGGTGGTGTTTGTAGGGCTCACGGCCGAGGGTTCTTCGTGATGTACTTGATATAAAAATGTAACGCATACTCCAACCCTTCGGCGATAATATATTCCTGATGATCGCTGATATTTATTTAGTGACCGAAACTAGCATTCTGCCAAGTGAATAACTATGACCCGTCCAAACAAGCAATCTGTCGGTCAGTAAATACAGATCCAATCCGCTTTATCGGTGTCTTTGTTCTGCAGTACTTGACCATTCATAATTCCATCAAGATAGCATCCACCAGCCAATCTATAACCACGATATATTTTTTTTGGCTCTCTGCATGTATGAAAGATGTTTCAGTTGGACGTAGGACGCATGGCACTGGTATCCCTGCCAGCACGTAGATAAAGTCACCAACTTGAATGTTCTCTCTTCCTACACCGACATATCCAGTCTCCGTCAAAAAAAGTCGCTTGTCGCGTATGGTTCGGCAAATGTCATTGTTTAATTCCCGAATGTAGTCTTCAATTAAAACCCCTTCTTCAATGTCCAGATATGTATTCACCTCCCACGTGTGAGAAGTCCTAGAGCCCGGCTCGGGAGAACTCATATAGTCGTTGAGATACTTCCAGTACAGACTAACATACTGCCCGAATCTTGCCCTTATGCGCGCTGTTTAGGAGGAGCCTCAATCTACCACCCCGGTTAAAGTTGCCGTAATGCCAGAAAGAAAAAAAAACAAGCTTATAGGGGTCCATTTCTAGACTCTATCTGTCTAATTTCTACTTATTTTCTTCGGTTCTTATGCATAGGATACTCTATTGTTTGTATCTCTAGTGTTGATTGTGTGAGTTTGATTTCTAATCTAAACAAGCTGCCTTAGACTTTCCCAATAGAGAATAATGTATATATGATACTCTGCTATGTGTTCATAAAGGTAGACAAAATACAAATAGAAGGAGTCTAGGTAAGGTGTTAATATAAGGCGTTAATAGAGCCCTTGAATTCCTACACTATAAGAGCCCTACATCGCTTTATAGTGATGGCAAGGTAAATTAACATACATAATATAACTTCTGCTGCACTTTATACCTAAGCTTATAAAACATGTGTGACAAAAGAGAGCCCCG